TCCAGTCATCACCTTGCAAGTTGAATTTAGCGGACCCTTTTCTCTCTAAACTCATTTTGGCTCTGAGGGTCATTTGACACAGAGGACTACCCTGCTTTTATTTTGCAAATACACTTTTTTAACTCCACACTCTCCTGTATTTCCTTCCACAACACTGGCTGCTTCTTCTCAGTCTCCTTTATGGACTTCGTATTCTTTATCTTATATATAAAGATGTAGTTCCTGCCTAGAGGACCACAACTCGCCTTTCAGGTTTCAAGCTTTAAATATCATTTTCTCACAGTATATTGGAGGCCAGACTAGTTTAGGTCATTAAGTGATATGTTCTTATTATACATACACATCCTGTTTTAATTTCCTAACATGTATCACATATGACAAATTATTTTGTGTGTAATTTTTTTTGTTCAATGTCTTTATCCTCTTCTGGATCGTCTGTAGAGCCCATCATGTGTCCTACATGTTTATTACACTGTGCGGAATGTAGCAGATGCCCGATATTTACAGAATGAATGAATTCATATATAAGTAACTGAAAGGGTTCAACAAATGCTAGTTCTGTTTTCCTTTCCCATCTCATGTTTACGGAAGCATAGATATACCAGAGTTGTGGAGTTCAGAGGGCACTACTCTCATTTCTATAGAAGAAAGACAAATTCATGGTGTGATGGATGTTACCAGATGTTAAAAATTATGGAACTCCTCACAAACCCCTCTTACAGGCAGTTGGAAATATCGATCTAGATCTCAGTAAAGAAGTCATGGTGAAGGACATGGATCTTCAAATTATAAAATTTTATTTTTTATATCTTTTAAAATGTGTTGTGATTTGCTCCTATGTGTTTTAAAATGGCGGAAAAGAGGACGAGTGGGTTTCAGGGGTCAAATGCCAGGGTATGAGACGTACAGTGCATCTGGTGAAAATGAAAACGATTTAAATTCTGATCTGATTAGAAAGGGTCAGTCTTGAAAAAGCTATAAAGGAAATCGTAACACAAATACAATTATATGTTCTTCTCTCCTTCTCCCTACTTTTTGACAATAAATCCTGAGCACAGATCTAAGGATATTTTTTTCCAAGAAAAAAATAGAAAATTATCCACTCAAACATAGTAGTCCTCCAAAATCATGCTACATGAAAGGTTATGGGAGTTTGAGGATCTGATGAAGTTAATTATAGTCTTGCAGCTCTGGATAAGACCCAAAAGCATTCAATTTCAAACAAAGGTCAGGGATAGTTAGAAAGTTTTATCACACTTAAGCTTGAACTCAAACAAGGTTACATTAAATAGGGACAGTCCAATGAGTATCATATTTCATAACTGGATCATGTACTTAGATATCTTTAGATCTTCTGAAATCATATCAAAAATAGTAGTATCCTTATGTTTTTAAAAAATAAGTGAGCATATTTGTATGAGCAAAGCTTTGAATAAAGAAGGCTAAGATTCTTGTCTCCTCTGAACTATTTTTATTTTTATAAGAAGCCACTGTGAGGCAGCAAGGCTGTTCACTGCTAGGGCACGATGTGTATCATGGGGCGTTTCCCCCGAGTTACAGACCAAGTTCTGCAAAGTACTGGGCATGTTAACTTTGCAAATTCAGCTTTCTACTACGGTGATAAACTCACATTTGTAGTAGGATAATAAACAGTCTCCAGGTGCATTAGCAGATATGTAGGAGATCACTGATATTAAGAGAGTAGCTAGAAGCAGCAAGCAAGAGGAGTGGAGGGAATATGAGAAAGAACTGAACTGAAAACCGTTTCCTGTCCTTTCCATGGCTGCTCGTAAGATGCAGCACTGCACTGTGTCCCGCATTTGAAGGTGACGTATTAATTCCAGGCTTTGAGGTAAATGAATTGTTAATGTTAAAACTGCCCATGTTTGAAGATCTCGTCATTTCTTAGCCTACTTTGTCAAAACCAACTCCTTTAACTTTTAAAATATTTTTTTTCCCTCAGATAAAGCACCAAGGCAGACTAATTCATTTGTAAGCTTTTCTCCTCAACAGTGGAATAAAGAAAAATCAATATCTGATGGTTTTTGTGTAAAGCTCAGTAAATAATAGATTTCATTTTTCTACTCTAAAAGCCAAAACTTAAAAAGCTTGCGCCTCTAGGAAGTTGGGAGAGGAAGACTGTTAGCAATTAAACTAGAAATGATAGTAATGCTACAGGCCCCCTCCCCAAAAGTCTGAGTATCAAGAAATCAACTCTTGGTAATAAAAATAAACTGTTACTTCTGATTTAGGGTAGCAGGCATAAAAAAAGGTGACAGCTAATGCACGCGATGAATCTCTCTGTGATTCTTCACAATTTCTCAGTTTTTGGGCTTTTGGGGATGTATATGTCGATGTGTGTAAACATAATTTACATGAGGAGTAATGTTTCAGATCTACTGATCTAAGATACACTTTTCATGAATCACCTTAGATATGAATGTTTGGGTTGAGTAAACATAAATAAGTGAGACAAGGTTCTTTCATTTTTGAGCTTTGTGAGTATAAAACTCAAATTCTCATTAATTCTGTTATTTTATCAAGCTACTTGAACTGATCTTCAAACAGATAATTTGCTTATGGCAAAAGTTAGGGATTGAGACATTGTCACATATAATTACTATGGCATTGTCACCTTGGAGACCAGCAGAAATAAGAATTATATTGCAGATGAGCAAAATTTAGTTCCAAGAATATTTGCTTGGCTCATTAGCTATTTATTAGGTAATAGTCTAGCTATGTATATGTAGGTGTATGCATAGCTTTGTAAATACCTACTTGAAATATTACTAAATCACTTTATAATATAATTTTTAAAAATCCCTGCCTAGAAACTTTTATGGAATCCATTTGTTTATGCTCCAAGCAGATATGTAAGTAAAAACATCCATTTAGACTCAATTCAGTGACAGTTGCTGTAGTTTTTGCCTAAATTTTTTATTTGATTGTAAGCAAATTTCTGAAGAATTACAAATGTGTAAATAATTTATTTACATGCATTATTTTTGGTAGATATCTATTTTAAAGTACAAAAATCAGGTCTATATATATATGGATGAAGATAATTTATAAATCTAATACCATAGCATTTATTTCTTCAGAAATATTCTCATTTCAATAATATCTCTTTAAAAATACATATAACATTTTAATACAAAATAAAATACTGTAAAAAAGCCAAAAACTAGGTAACTTTTCATTCTGTTTTAAATGAGAATACAATCAGTAAGCTAATAAAGTTATTTTTGGAGTAGTTTTTTTCAAAATAGCAACGAGCACTAATGTTACTCATTGTTTATTGGGCTGAGATCTTCACAGAAATTGTGTGCTAAAAATGATCAGCAGAACAAGGGAAGGAGCTGTGCGTATCACTGAGGAATTCTCATTTCTGTCATGGGCAAGATCAACAGTTGCTGCTGCTACCATCCCCAGTAGAGATACTTATTTCTCTGGCAGGAAGGGCGATACTGATTTTGGGACTGCTACTTTAAAGTATGTTATTGACAAGTTCAACTGGAAGTAAAATTTATTTTCATTAGAAAATACAAGTGGTCAAGAAAAGCTTCTGCCTTTTATTCTCCATGTTAACATAAAACAACTTTTTTTTTGAGACAGGGTCTCACTGTGTCACCCAGGCTGAAGTGCACTGGCATAATCTTGGCTCACTGCAGCCTTGACCTCCAGGGCTCAAGTGATCCTCCCAAATCAGCCTCCCAAATAGCTGAAACTATAGGCACATGCCACCACACCAGCTGATTTTTGTATTTTTTTTTTTTTGTAAAGATGGGTTTTTGTCACATTGCCCAGACTGGTCTTGAACTCCTGGGCTCAATTTATTTTTTCCTCACCTATTGCCTCACCCTGTTGGCCTCCCAAATTAAGTGCTGGGATTCAGGCATGAGCCCTTGTGTCCAGCCATAAAACACCTTTGAAGCAAAAATTTTTTTGTTGATGTTCTTTCTCTAATTTATGTGTTCTTATTTCCTTTTTCTGTGTCAAAAGAGAAGCACATATTATTTGATTTTTAATGAAGCTTTCTCAGGGGCACTATTTAAAGAAATCTTTACATATAATTAAATATTTTTAAGATAGTTGTGTATTTTTTCTACTTTTACATTGACATTAATTCCTGACAATTAACCATGCTTATGATGTGTATTTCTTAACTAAGTAATCTCAGCTGTGTAGCTCTTCCATGAAACATGTAATAATCTACTCTCCAATATGTCAAGTGAATCTATCCTTGGAGAAAACATTTTGAGATAATTAGAATTGTTATTATTATGATGGCAAAAACCACAATTACTTCTGCACTAACCTCATATACACATAAAATGTGCATTCTGGTCACTACTCACCAAATATTTTTAAAACATGAATTTCTCTTTTCAAAATATGTAGATAATAATTTACTCCAACAAGCATCAGCATACCATTAAGTTGAATGGTGGTTATTATACCCTATGGAAGGGGCTCACTGCTCCCCTTAAGAACCTCACCAAGTTCACTGGGTTGTAATAACACTTGCTTATCTCCTCGAGTTGCTTTGAGATCTCGGAACTAATATTAGGAGGAGTGCTGTGACATCTGTTAAAAGTCTGTGAACATGAGGTGGTAGTCCACAGGGTAAACCAGCGACCTGAGCATAGGCAGAAAAGTGCCTCCCGGTTGGCATTCATGATGTTAATATTTCCATAATCATGAAGCACACCTCTTTCAGGATTAAGGGGTCATGTTCTTCTCATGCACGGGGGTGAACAGCATTTCCTCAAGATTTGGGTGGTTTGTTGAGAACTGAAATGATGTACATACTGACATTGAATAAGAGGCCATGTGGATAGAATAAACATGAATGTACTTCCAGGAGAAAAAGATCAGACACTCAGAATTGACAAGAGCCTTCTCATCACCAAACTGAGATCTAGTCTCAGCAAAAAACGTGAGTAAACAAAAGAAAGTGAATATTGGAAATGTGCTTATGACTTAACTGTGTTTTTCAGAACGCTGTAAATGTAAGCCTATTAGAGCTACACAGAAGACCTATTTCCGGAACAATTACAACTATGGTAAGGAAAGCTTCATGGTTGATTTATAAACTGCGGTGTTAAGGTGTGTGGATGCACCCATGAATATGTGCACATGTAAATAAGTAGAGCCATTTAAGAATAAGGCTTAAAAACCAAAAGACAACTTTTAAGAGCATAGTCCCTCTGCCCCAACGAATTAACATGTCTCCCATGGGCAAAATACTTAACACATGGTTGATGTTCAAGCATACCAAGCAGACATGGTTGATGTTGAAGCACACCAGGCAGTATTGTTGTCCTCCTAGAGCCATGCATGTAAGTACACAGAGATAAGTATCAAGATACACGGGACTCTTCCCTACCTGGAGATTGAAGGAGGATTTGAGCTCAAGTTGGGTTGCATAGGCCATCGGTTGTGCTTAACTGGGTGAATAGAAGAGCACTTTGATGCGTAAGGAACTGTTAGAAGACTCAGCTTGGTTTTGTCAGTCAGCCTATCCCATGAAAAACACAGATAGATTTGGAAAGCAACACTTGTAGAAGTTGGTATTCAGCTAAAGAAATGTGTTGTATCTAGCTTGACTTAAAATCTGACATTCTAATAAATTAAATATTAATTGAAGAGCCACCAATCCAAATGTAGCTGACAAACTTAACTGAAGGATTAAAAAGCCTGCCATTTTTGCCCTATATGCTAAGTGATTTCTATGCATTATCTTTAATTTTCTCAGCTGCCCCATGAGATATATTACCATCCTGATTTTATCAATGATTATTGAATCTAAGTTGTCCCTTCTTTGATTGTTCACAATGTACTTTTAGATGCTGGTATGTACTTTAGAGTCATAAATTTATTTATACAGTCATTATATTTAGAAATGGCAATTAACAGAGTTTTCCAGTTGAAACATAAGGAACTGACTGATATTTACTGTATTCCATAGGCATTTTTATTTTTTCCAATATCTATGGTATTAGTAAAAGGTATGTTACTGTCTCTGCATAAGACTATTGATGTTGAGTCAATGAGTAAACACAGCGATTAAACAGACTTTTAAAGTGAACCTTATTAAAATAAGAGTTTTATTGTTGCATTTGTGTGCACTATTTAAAAGTATATATGATATATAGAGCAGATTTATTTCTTCTATATTTTTTGAAGTTGGAAGGAGAGAAATGAATAAGACTAAGAGTTATCTTCAATATCTTTCAAAACGCAGTTTATTAAAAAATACAAAGTTGAAAATTTTTGGTTTAGTTAAATCTCTTTAAAACAGATCCACCTTGTTTCCCGTTTTTCTTCAATGGAATTTTATGTTTTGCTTGCTGCTCATCTTAGGAGGAATGTAGCTTTTCTTAGTCAATGATGGATGCTCAGAAGTTTGTAAGGTTATGTTTATCTAAGAAGTCAAATGCCTGGCTGCTTTATCTAGGAACCCATTTCTTTACAGATTGATGTGAAGAACCCTAGGGAAAAAAGAGGCCTTAATTTCTAGGGGATTAGCTTCTTAAGACTGAAAAATGCTATATAAACTTTTAAATACTGTAATGCTAAGAATAAAAACATATAAATTTTATATCAGGGAAATGTAATTATTTATTTTACTTATCCTATGTTCAAGTTTTATTTTATCCGAGCTTCTTTAGTGCTGCAATAGTTGTTGCTGTTATTTCTGTTAAAAGTTGAAAGACAAGTCATGGAAAGTGAAGGTCTTAGAGAAGATAGCTGAATGAATATCATAAAATAAAATGGGATATGGATCATAATTAGTGAAAAGGAGCAGATAATTTCTTTTTTGTAACCAAGTAATAGCTAAGTTGATCATAGTTTCAAGATTGTCATTTGTCTGGATTTACTTGCAGTTTCTTTGGGAAAGGGAGGCACTCAAATGATAAAATAGAAGAAAGAATTCTGAAAAGGAAATATATTTTACTTGCAAAATATTTTTATTTTTTATATTTTATATCTGCATGTGTCTACTGAGAAAACAAAGTCAAGGTGGGAGCAACCGGAAATACAGATAAAACTTCTACTTCATTCAGATTAATTCTGTGAAAAACTCTTTAAGTGTTAACAAAATTACTTGAGTGAAAAAGTAGGTCTTGTAGAAAGATATTTATTTTGGAGTGGGTACATGTGCTAAAAATTTCAAATGAAAATAGTAGACACTGGGTAAATAAATCATTAGTTTGAGAACATTTGCACAGTTCACTAATCTCTAATAGTTGATGGATGCTATGAAGCACGTACACTTAAGCCAGGTCACACAAAAATGCCTGTTAGTTGGGGTTGAGAATTTCTCATCTGATTCTCCCAAATGACATTTCAAAAAGGGCAATCTTATCTTTTGTTAAATACAGAATAGGGAGAACATGAACAGACAGGGCCTCCACTTGCCAGTTGAACCAAGCAAGGACAGTTGGGTACACCTTTTGTTTGCTACAAGTTCTCATACTTGAGGCAACTAATTCTCTGAAGACTGAAATGTGAAGTTTTTAGAATTCATTAGTAACTTAATTTCTGTCATGTGTGTTGTAATGGTAGAATATTAAGTTTGTGTGATGAAATTGGAGCATTAATGGGTGGAATGGTTGATTAGCTGGTTTTATATTTTTCACAGATTACTTTCTTCTAATCCTTTATAGTCCAAAACCTCTAAAATATGTGGGAAGGTACTCAGATTAAAGTGGTTTGCAATTACATGTCTAAAAAGTTTTTGAAACATTGACTCATTTGGGTAAACTGTGTTTTTCTCTATGTAATGTCCATTGGTATTGAACTGGAGCAATGAGGGTACTGGGAGAAATGCCATTGGCTTTTTACTAATTGACATTTTACTTCTTTCTTGATGTTTTAAAACTGTTCTTTTAAAAACTCATTTACTAGAAGCAGGAATCTAAACAATTTGACTCTTTTAAAGCAGGGACATACAGAAAAGAAGCAGAACTATACTTTCTAGATTCTGAGTCAAATACTTTAACTTTGCAACTGAAGGCCATTTGTTGTTAACATTGAGAAGTAAAGTGACTCTTGTGACATAAATTGGGTGCCAATATATCCGTCGAGAGAGGTAGAATGATGCAACTGACGTTTGAGAATATATGCTGTAGCACGTGAGGGGAAGGAGTGTTGGAGTGTCTGACTTCAAGGCAGAGGGAGGAAATAAGGTCTAGTGGTGACAATTTTTATTCAAGAAGAAAATGTAGTCCACCTAGAGGAGAGTATGAAAGATAATCTGCACTGAACACAAAGGAAGAAAGGACCTGATATCTGAACAAAGAAGAAAATGTAGCTCATATAAAGGAGAATATAAAAGACAATCTGTACTGAACACAGAGAAAGAAAGGAGCTAATAACTGAACAGCAACCCAAGATGAGGCAGGTGAAAAGACTGCAGAGCCAGTTCGGAAACACTATTGAGCAGGACAAATTTATAACACTAAAGAGGCCCACCACTTGAGAAAACCTATTAATAGACCTGATTCAAAAAATGATTTAAAAAACAAGAAAAATAAAAATAGACCTGTTAAAGGAATACCAACAAGGAAAGAAAGCACAAGCTTGTAATCCCAGCACTTTGGGAGGCTGAGGTGGGTGGATCACGAGGTCGAGAGATCGAGACCATCCTGGTCAACATGGTGAAACCCCGTCTCTACTAAAAATATAAAAAATTAGCTGGGCATGGTGGTGCGTGCCTGTAATCCCAGCTACTCAGGAGGCTGAGGCAGGAGAATTGCCTGAACCCAGGAGGCAGAGGTTGCGGTGAGCCGAGATCGTGCCATTGCACTCCAGCCTGGGTAACAAGAGTGAAACTCCGTCTCAAAAAAAAAAAAAAAAAAAAAAAGAAAGCATATGTAAGTACTAGGTCTTTTCATATTGTGAAATTAACATAGTTTAAATTCCTGTTGGCAGCAATTGGAACTGCACATGCATATATACACATCCAAAATGGAATTTTAGAACAAAGTCATATCCGATTATTGACTCAATCTTTGATTCTCTAAATGGATTTCTCAAAAGCACATGCACACACATGCATATATACACACAAATATATGCATAGCCACAAATTGTAAAGAGAGCAGGGCAGAGCATTAGGAGGTCATGTGTTGTTGTATGTCACACACTGCAGTCTACAGCAAAAATATCTGGCTGACTTTTCTGTTCCATTCATTGAATATCAAGTGGATAAGAATTAACTGAAGAGGCCGGGCGCGGTGGCTCAAGCCTGTAATCCCAGCACTTTGGGAGGCCGAGGCGGGTGGATCACGAGGTAAAGAGTTCGAGACCATCCTGGTCGACATGGTGAAACCCGTCTCTACTAAAAATACAAAAAATCAGCTGGGCATGGTGGCACGTGCCTGTAATCCCAGCTACTCAGGAGGCTGAGGCAGGAGAATTGCCTGAACCCAGGAGGCGGAGGTTGCGGTGAGCCGAGATCGCGCCATTGCACTCCAGCCTGGGTAACAAGAGCGAAACTCCGTCTCAAAAAAAAAAAAAAATTATGAGTCATATTATTATCAGCTTTTCTTGTCTTTTATCGCAGTCATTCGGGCTAAAGTTAAAGAGATAAAGGCAAAGTGCCATGATGTGACTGCAGTAGTGGAGGTGAAGGAGATTCTAAAGTCTTCTCTGGTGAACATTCCACGGGATACTGTCAACCTCCACACCAGCTCTGGCTGCCTCTGTCCTCCGCTTAATGTTAATGAGGAATACGTCATCATGGGCTATGAAGATGAGGAACGTTCCAGGTAATTCACTCATTAAGGATACAGAATAACTGCTTTGCTTACCCTACTCTCATTGCACTTCTATCTAGAGATCTTACCCTCACATTCTTACCTTGGGATCTGTCCACCTTCTTGGGGATTACAGGTAAGTTTTAGCTGGGATCCTTGATTTCATATATGGAATGGGTGTATGTGTGTAGTTTATGGTTTGCATTTTTCCAGGGAGAGGGACCGTAACTTCATTTGGGCCTGTGACTCACAAATGGTTAATAATTACGGTTCTAAATCTTGGCTGTCCTATTCAAAAATAAACATATAAGTCTTTCTTGGCACTGATTACTTGTACTTTTCAGTAACAGGTTTTAATTTTTCAAAAATGGTTGCTTCTTTTAAAAATGCAGATTACTCTTGGTGGAAGGCTCTATAGCTGAGAAATGGAAGGATCGTCTTGGTAAAAAAGTTAAGGTAAGCCTGTATTTTATGTTTGAAGTAATACACACAAAACAAAAGTAGAAAACCAGCCATCTGTCATTAAAATGAAAGAGCTTCCTTCAACTATATGAGAAATACTAAAATTTAGTATGCATATATTTATATATTCCAAGAGCTGAATTTATCTTTGATGTCTATTTCATTTAAGGAATGAATTCCCTGTATGTGTATCAAAGATCTAACTACAGTTGCCCTAATTTCACTTCCCAAGGAGTCTAGCTGTAGTCCAGTCCCGGCAGGGTGGTTCCACATTGTCAGGCTGCTTCTAGCTTATTTCTCTACCTTTTTTTTTTCTTTTCTTTTTGAGAAGGAGTTTCACTCTTGTTGTCCAGGCTGGAGTGCAACTTTCGCCCCCCGGGTTCAAGTGATTCTCCTGCCTCAGCCTCCTAAGTAGCTGGGATTACTGGCATGTGCCACTACACCTGGCTTAGTTTGTATTTTTAGTAGAGATGGGGTTTCTCCATGTTGGTCAGGCTGGGCTCAAACTCCTGACCTCAGGTGATCTGCCTGCCTTAGCCTCCCAATGTGCTGGGATTACAGGTGTGAGCTACCGCGACCAGCTGCTGTGCCATTTTTAAAGGCATTGCTTCCGTACTTATGCTCACCTGGAGGTTACAATATGGCTGCTCTGCCTCTACTATCACGTCTACATTTCAGGCAGAAAAAGAGGGGGTAAAAGGGATTTCCAAGAGTCTCATCAAGCAACTTTTACTTAGCTGCAAAACAGCCTAGGAAATGTAGTCTATTTTAAAAAAGTCTAGGGATATTGCTTCCCTGAACAAATTGCAGTTTGTGAGAAGGGGAGAATAAATTATGGGTAAGAAAATAAACAGTGATGTCCAATGAATAAACACCAATTCCTACGTACAAAGCGTAGCTACGTTCATCTATATGTAAGAGAACTGAACAAATTAGGTCCTTAGAGCAGTAATTTAGCCTTATTTTTAAGTCGATAGCTCTCAGATTGTGGAACTGATACATTTTTAAAAATCACGTAGTACATGACTGTATTATAGAAGGTTTTGTTTCTTCTTACTGCACTAGGCAAATCTGTTTCAAAGAAAAGAATGGAGTTGGGAAATGTATAGGGGGACAAAAAAAATCTCAAAGGATGTATGGGTGGGTGGGGGGAGTGGGAACTGTACCAAACGTAATACATCCTCTTCCATCTGCAAGTTTGAAGGCTTGGGAAACATTGACATGGTAAGTTAAACACCCTTGGGCAGTTTATCTTATACATCTGGCACTTGACACAGCAGACACATTTGGGTTTAAATGACCTACAAAAATGTAGAGGGCATTATTTTGTAAGGAGAAACTACCCTCCAGTAAGTTCTGCCCCCTTTCAGTAGGTAAGTCAAAAGTGAGATGCATTTCAAGTTTAGACATGTGGGCATTCTCTCTGCAGCTCTCTTCAATTAGTTTATTGTTTAGTAAAGAAAAAAGTGGCTCTTGTTCAGTATGTTGGAATCTCTTACTGTCTTTTTAATTTGGTTTTCTGCTTGCTAATGCAGAACAGGAATTTGTCCTAAATTCCTGTACCAGTTGGAAGAGCTTTCAATATCCCTGCTGCAAAGCATATAACAAGGCTTACTGCTCCTCTTTTGGTACCAAAATAATATCATTGTGTTGTTGACAGGACATGTGGCTTGTTTGTCCTGTTTTCCATTGCTTTCTCAGAATTTCCCATTCCTTTTGCAGGAGACTTGCAGAGTTATTGTTAGGTCATTTATATTCTCAGTCTGGATTTAAATACTCTAAAGGAAAAAAAAAACCCTATAATTTGAACAATTTTAAATTCATTTGCAGATATTGAGGGCTAAAGAGTTTGAGTAGAAAATCTCCTTTGGCCAGAATTATTGAGATCCCTGTTTTAGTTTTCCAGTCAATTTGAAGACGTGTAAAAAAAAAGTTTTATGAAGGATGTTGGTTTTAAATCAGATTTTCTCTTAGCTGAGTTTTGCTCAGTGGATTAATCAAGAATTGTATAAGAAACGTTATTATTATGTTTTTTTTTTTTTTCATGGAAACGGTTTTTTACCTAAGTCTCCTATAGCAAACTATTCAAGTTGTTTGGACTTTCTTGGGAAGTTGAGAATCAGACTGTTTATAAAATAGGAAAACAAGATTGTGAAGTAAAGTATACTAAAATGGAGAATGACTTTCAGTAATAGAAAAACAATAACTAATTTACTATATGCTAAGCACTTTGTATATATTGTTATCAATCTTCAGATGAATCTAATTCTTATAAGTAGATTCTATTATCAGTTCCAACATATAAATGATGAAAATGAAGTCTAGTAAATTCAAGAAACTTCGCACGGTAAGTGGGGGAGTTAGAATTTGAACTTGGGCCACCTGACCCAAGGATCTGATGATCCTTGCTATTTAAAATGTGGTCCCTGGACCAGCAACACAGGAATCGTGTGGGAGCTTGTTAGTAATGAAAATCTTGGGCCCTGTCTCAGACCTACTGAATGAAAATTGGCAATTTTAACAAATTCCCCACGTGATGTCCATGTTTGAAGTTTGGGAAGTACAGCTGCAGTTCATATTCCCTACCTTTCCTCATGTAATATAACTTCCATTTAACTTAAATTACGTGTAAATATTGACATTATCAATATGAACTATTACTAAACTTGATTGTGGCTAATAAAAACATTGCCAACGCCTGCTTTGTAAAACTTAGAATGAAGGCAGGACCTTATCTGTTTTTTTTGTTGTACTTGGTGGATATTACTTAGAAAAATATTTTTGAGACCCCCGCCATCCCTCAAAAAATTTTTTGTTTTTTTTTCCTTGCTCAAATCACGTAGATTTTTAAAGGCTATGTTCTTATATGTCTTAAGAGAGGATGTTGAAAAATAGCCTTTCCTTCAAATTCTGTGTGTAAATCTTCCATTTGTTGAATATCTTGAAGCACTAGCTTCCTGTGTGTTACCTCAGGAAATATCCAGATGTATAGGGAGATACTTTCATCATCATTTACAGACATGGAAATTTTAAGTTCAAGGTTTGATAGCATTACTAAATATAATATAGATGGGCAACTTTGTGCTTGTTAAAATCAGAGAAAAATGTTCATATTGCATCAGTTTTCTTGTTACCCTGGGAAATGGATTTGTACTTTTGGAAAAGTAGTAAAATGCTTTGGAGATCTGACCTTGTGGTCTGACCCATTTGTTAGAATCATGGAAATGATGACCCTAGTGATACGTGCTTGTGACTATTTTCTATTTTAAATTTCTCAGCGCTGGGATATGAAGCTTCGTCATCTTGAACTCAGTAAAAGTGATTCCAGCAATAGTGATTCCACTCAGAGTCAGAAGTCTGGCAGGAACTCGAACCCCCGGCAAGCACGCAACTAAATCCCGAAATAGAAAAAGTAACATCGGTGGACTTCCTGTTAAGACTTATCTGCATTGCTGGACTAGCAAAGGAAAATTGCACTATTGCACATCATATTCTATTGTTTACTACAAAAATCATGTGATAACTGATCATTACTTCTGCTTCTCTTTTGTTTTCTGCTTTTCTCTTCCCCCAACCCCTGTAATGGTTTGGGGGCAGACTCTTAAATATATTGGGAGTTTTCTGTTTCACTAATCATAAGAAAAACTGTTCTTTTGCAATAATAATAAATTAAACATGTTGATACCAGAGTTTCTTTGCTGGAGTCCCCAGATGATAATTTACTTTCTGTACCCCAATTGGGAATGCAATGTTGGATGCAAAGAGAGGTTTCTGGTATACACAGAAAGCTAGATATGCTGTAAAACATACTCTGCCGATCTAATAACAGCCTTATTTTTGTGTGCCTTTTGGGCATTCTCCTCATGCTTAGAAGTTCCAAATGTTAATAAAGGTAAAATGGCAGTTTGAAATCAAATGCCACATAGGCAAAGCAGTCAAGCACCAGGGAGCGTTTATGAGGAAACACGCAAGATGAGTTATTTTTGAGATTGGCAGGAAGCAAAATAAATAGTATTAGAGCTAAAGAAAGAACATTTTGCCTGATTGAGAAGCACAACTGAAACCAATAGCCACTGGGTGTTAATGGTAGCATTCTTCTTTTGGCAATACATTCGATTTGTTCATGAATATATTAATCAGCATTAGGGAAATGAATTATAACTAGACATCTGCTGTTATCACCATAGTTTTGTTTAATTTGCTTCCTTTTAAATAAACCCATTTGTGAAACTCTTTTTCTTTTCCTCTTCTTTTAAAATAAATCCGAATTGCTGTATTGACCAAGGAAAGATTATGTGTGCATGTGCACCAGGGTGTTAGTTTTTAAAAGTACACAGCTCTCTAAAATGACATAGATTACAGAATAATGAAATGTGCAAGTTTTTTTTTTCTGGTATGTGTGTATCTGTATTTGTGTATATGTGTATCTGTGCACTCACACGCAAGGTGGATTAAAATACAGGCCTGCAAACCGGCCTGCACTTTATCATTTGGATTTGTGCTGTTTAATGCTCAGTAAAAAATGTCTAATAAAATGAATTATGGTTGTCAGGAGAGAGGTTATTTTGACTTTTGAACCAAATACATGTTTCTCATTACCTAAGCAGCAGTGAGATCCCAGGGGCTGTGGTGAACAAATGATGCATTTATAGATGGTCCCTAGCTCACAATGATTCAATTTACAATGGTTCAATTTAACAATTTTTTTACTTAAAATGGGTTTATCTGGATGTAACCCAATTCATTTCAACTTACGATATTTTCAATTTAGAATGGGTTTATCCAGCTGTAACCCCATGGTAAATGGACGAGCATCTGTACTTCCTTCCTCCGGCAGAGTTCCTTAGACCTGTGCCAATTACTTGAAAGTTTCATTCTCTGCCATTTACATGTGTGCTATTAGTAAAACCAAATTTCTCAGCTGTTGTGTGCTGAAAATAAAACACTTATGAGGCAAAAATGGTGCTGTGTTTCCTTCTACAAGATAATCATGCAAGGATGAAATTCATTCCTGAACAAAAGTTGCCTAAAATGGTAAATAATCATCTATCCACATGGTCTTTCTTAAAAGTGTGAGCTGGGTATGGTGGGTGCACGTATAATCCCCATAACTTGGGAGGCTGAGGAAGGAAGATGGCTAGAGCCCATGAGGTTGAAGCTGCAGTGAGCTATGATTGTGTCCACTGCACTCCAGCTTAGGCGATAGAGCATGACCCTGTCTCTGTAACAACAAAAGTGTGAAAGTTGATTCTACAGACTGAAGTCATGCATGTCATATCCAACCAAAATGCAATCAGGAAGCCAAGTGGAGGGGCACCCAGGTCCCTGTTCAAGGAACTGTTCTTTTCAGTTCAGAAAAAACACAAAGACCTAACTCTAAGTTACAGTAGTAGTTGCTGTCACTCACTAATCAGAACTTGCTAGATCCTACAAGACGATCCTGGCTCCAGTAAACTTCCTTTCAAAACAATTTAGATCACCTTCCTCTCTTCCCCAGTAAAGACTCAGCCTTTCTCTTTGTTCTTTGAACACACCTAGCGGCTGCACTGGTTTGTGTGCCCAGAATTACAATTCTAATTCTTGCATTCCCAAATAATCCCTTTACTTGGTGATTTCTCTTCCTAAATTTAAAGGTGACAGAGTAAGGGAACATTCCTGCCTTCTGATTGACTCTCCAAGGCCAAGAATTTCCCCAGCCCCAGAAGAAAACATTCCCACCTTTGCCTATAGGACTGCATAGTCTTTTGGGCTCCAAAGACCACCTCCCAGGGGCTTGCCATCCACCCACTGTTGCTGTATTCCCAGATGGCAAGGACATCTCTTTTGAGGTGCTGCTGTCATAGCCTTAAGACGTGAGTTCGGTGTCACTGGGGAGTAATGAAGTGCCACCATGGAGGGACTGTCCCTCAGAATCGCTCTTCCTGGTGGTATGGAAACCTCACTTTGAGTCTGAGGACAGCGGGATGGGTGCCTCAGCCTGTTTCCTCAGGCCTTCTCATGTTAACTCTGAAAAGGAGGAGAAGAATTGATTACAGGAGAGGTTTAAAAGAACTTATCTCAAGTCCACAAACGTCAACTCTCTCAAAGAACTGTAAGCAATTTTAAGTGAGGAACTCTTTTGATGTATAATAAAAACTACAGATGTTTCCAGCCTCTGCAGTTTTTTGGGGGGAGGCGGTGGGTAGATGGGGTGTGATCACTTTCTGTGTAGGAATTTGACACACTTTATGCTTAATATAAACAAAAGACGGCTAGATTCTTAGATTCAGCAGTTGTTTTTTTAACCCCCTTCCATTTGGTACCATTTTACAACCTACTGTTTTACTGCTACCATCTAGAGTGGCAATATTTGGTTTTGCTCATCTGTATGAGGCTTCTGTCAGTCGTTCAAATATTTCTAATGGTATAAAGTTACTGAATAAAGCACATTTGGTTTTTCAGCTTGGTAACTACAATACTTTCATTAATAAACTATGTGCAGACCTCTTTTGGGAGGATGGCATGATTTACCATGATGGTCACATCTCTAATCAGACTGCTAAACCATTTCTATTCTAGTTGCCTTAGTACAAAGACATCTCATTCATGCCTCTTTATAGGGTTTTCTTGCAGATACGAACTTTTAAAGCCACTAAAAATTTAATATACGTACATTCTTGTCAGTAACCTTGAGATGGATAAAATTCATATTTCTTTAGAAAATTTTATTCACCTTCAGGATTTTAATTTTCTTAGCCAAATAAAAAGCAAATGCATGCTGAATAAAGTAGCAAGTATTTAAACAACAGCAAACGTGAATTCTCTTTTCATGGGTATGTATTTTACTGTGTCACATACAATGTAATCTGATTCAGTGCCATATGTTGCACCCAGCATTCAGGGATGGGGTGAGACAAACTGTCTTTCCACATCTGTTATACATTAAGAAGGCAAATACAAAAGTTATAATCACTGTGAGCAAAGGGCACTACCTATCGCCTTCTGCAAGAAGTTATTTGCTAATACATTTCAACAAGTAAAATGACTTTAAAAAGTATTTCAAGATTGATATTTAGGACTATGAGTTTTAACATATTTTTTAATACACAAGAATTCAAGAAGATGGTAAAAATAAAGTAGAGACTTCTAATATGGTGTTACTGAAATCCAGCCCATAAAATTTAAAAATATGGTTCCCAGATGTATTAATATTAACAAAACAGTATAGTTATATATTTCATGATTATCTGTTTGGGGTAGTAACATCTAACAATGGCTAGAACTCTATATGAAACACACATATGTTACTTTATTCCTTAAAGTTGGTGAAGTAGATGTTTTATTTTCATTTAACAGATTTTTTTTTTTTTTTTAATGAGGATTTAGAACTTCAGAGTTCGGTTAGTAGCAGAGCTGGGACTTAGATTCTCTTAATCTTATTTGCCAAATTATATGTTTTCCACCACTGTAATTTCTGATAAAAAGGTAAATGCATCCTAGCATTGTAAAAAAAGAAAAAGCATAATGTCATGCATATTGTGGTGCTAATATTTCCTAAACTGTGGTCTGTCAACTATATCAGAAAGCTTACATAATACAGTTCCAACTCTAACCCAAGATACTGTCACTTCACCTCTTCAGATGTCCCCCCTTACAAAATCAGAACTTCAGTAGAATTATTTCCATACAGCATGGGTAGGTGATGAAGTAATTTTTGGGGCATCAATTGTTTAAAAATATGTGACTCCCAGTTAAAAAAGCATTTTTCAGGCCGGTCATGGTGGCTCACTTCTGTAATCACAGCACTTTAGGAGGCCAAGGTGGGGTGGATCACGAGGTCAGGAGTTCAAAACCAGCCTGGCCAAGATGGTGAAACCCTGTCTCTACTAAAAATACAAAAAAAAAAAAATGGCTGGTCGTGGTGGTGGGCAGCTGTAATCCCAGTTACCTGGGAGGCTGAGGCAGAGAATTGCTTGAACCCAGGAGGCGGAAACTGCAGTGAGCCAAGATTGCGCCACTGTACTCCAACCTGGGCAACAGAGCGAGACTCTGTCTCAAACAATAAAATAAAATAAAAACATATTTTTTAAAGTTTCTCTTTTCGTTTGAATTTGGAGAAAAGTATACATTACTTGTATTCAACAACACCTGGAAGAAAGTTGAAATTAAAAGTTGATAATTATTACAAATAAAACCAAAATGACTACTTCCACTGGGAACTCTCATTACTCCTTTTTAGATTATGCCTTCTATTTTTTGTACCACCAGAGTCCTCCAAATAATCTAGAAAAACTATTCTACTTTACCTAATTCTCCCTGCTTTTCATTTGTTAAGTATTTTCACTATGATAGGGATTCAACATGTTAATACAAGACAACTAAATATGTTTTTCTTTGGATGAAATGTCATGTTTCTACTTAGGTGGTTGTTGATAACTCAAGGAGTTGTCCTATGAAGAAGGAAAAGATGTACTCAGGGAAGTGTGTCCAAAAGAAAAAAGGATTTGTGGGCTGTTGAGGAAAATGACACAGAAATGAAAGAAATTGGAGAAAAAAAATTTCCTACTAACCACAGGGATGTGGAGGGGAATGACCCCACTCATTACACAGTGGTACTGTGGCCACTCTTGCAAACAGCCACCACCTCCCTCCCCACACACTTAGCATCATGATGTGGGATTGATGTTATGATTGCAGGGCTGGAGTTAGGATAGTCTGGGGCTGCAGTAAGGGTGGATGGGGTGATGTCTGAAACAGGATAGCTCTGAAATGTTACAAAGTCAATGAAACAGAGAACCAAGGATTTTTTGTTTATACTGGATGGTAAATCTAATAAATAAAGCAGATCCAGTTCACTCTAATGTCTTTATTTCTACATTATTTTGGTGATTAGGAGGGAATCATGGCTTCTTAGAGATCCTATCCCTGTCCTAGCACTGAAAAGCAGAATTTGAGTTGAGCTGTTGGAGAATCTGGCAGAAGAAGAGATCGGTATGAACAAAATTCCTATTGGAAAACTTTCTCTAGGGCCTAAAACTCAAGTAATATATCAAAGCTTTAAAATATGCATGATGCTCCATATAAGGTATATTGCCGAGTTGAAGTGAGGAAACTGAGGCCAGTATATGAAAATGAAAATCCAATTTGTTCAGCTCCCAGGGGAGGTTCTATGGTCCAGGATGGGGCCAGAGAAGTTGCACTTAACTTTTTACGGCAGGGGGTTTTATAGGGGTTAGAGGCGATTGATTGGATAT